ATCTGCTTTTTGTAAGGACATGGGAAAATGAGGCTATGATACATTCTCATGTGTGGACACATACACATACATCTATATGGGTGGCTATCAGGACAATAGCAGGAGTGGAAAACTGAGAATGAGGTAAGAACAGTAAGGCAATATGTATGGAGTCTAAAAGTACTACTGAACGTGGCACAAATGTCCCTAGTTACCCCACTTTGAGTCCTCTACTAACTGTTTTCAACTACATTGGTAACTCAGTTTTTAAAATGTTATATGCACTGAAAATATCAAATTAAGAGTTTGAGTCAAGTATGAAGGAAACTAAATTCCAACTTCAGTAAACATTAAAAAATAAAAAGTTGATACATAATTTTAAATTTCTACTTGGTATATAACTACAAATTAACCTTCATAAAAAGGAGTTTCTATGAAATTTTCTGATACTAATTGCTTTGAACATCACTAATCTGTCCAGGAAAAAACATGCACACCAGAATCAGACAAATTAATTGTCAACTGGTTTTACCCTGCTCAATTACATGGAAACTGATAGATTCTGGCCCAAGTATGAATTGCTGAATCATTACGGTGGTCATCTAACATGGATGAAGCCCTTAAAACAACAGCTCATCTTCCCAGAGACCACCTCCCCCCTTCCTCTCCAGCTCAGCCTAGGGTGCCGCTTCCTCTCACCCTTCCCGCCACCTCAGGGAAGGCCCCATCAGCCCCTCAGGTGTATCTAAACACCCCCTCAAGCCCCACCCAGGCAAAAGGCCATGAAAGCCTCAGTGTGCCTCTGTTCCAATCCAGAGAATTCTGTATCTTCCCCAGGTTCTCTCCATGTCCTCAAAGATAATAAAGCCCCTTTTCCTTTTTCTTTTTGCCTGTTTCTCTGCTGTGCAGGTGCCTGAAAAAAACTATCAAAAACATAGTTTCTCATACATCTGGAGAGGTTCCTAGCTAGCTTTCTGCTTCAGGAAGCTATGCTTTGGCTGGTGAGATCTAACTCAGTTTTGTCAATGAACTCGGGACCTGGTTGGTATGAAATGTACGAGTATAATAAATCAGTAATTCAAATGTAATGAAAATAAACCAACACCTAATGTTCTCTGATATTTATAAATGAAATCCTCATAAAGCACAAGAGATAATCTATTATAGGATAGTAAAGTTTTTGAAAATTCAGATCCTAGTGACAAAATAACAGATTTTGGAAACTTGGAATGCCGTTGAAAATGTTAAATTGATAGTTTTTAGTCATAGCTTTGAATATAAAATTGAAACCTTTAAAACAAAATTAGTAAAAATATAAGTTATAGTTTTAGTTTAAAATATTCTATTAGCTTTAAAGGTGGTAAAACAGGAAATGAAGAACTTGGTAAAGAATTATCATGGTCAAACTGAAAAAGGACTAAAAAGGTTCTTGGATAAATTCTTGTTCAGATAACTGCTCTATACACTTGAAGAGAATAGATTTTTTTGATTTATTAATGTCTTAGAATATACAAAGTAATAATGAAAATTAAAAACTGCACTTAGCAGGGTGTGGTGGTTTACACCTATATTCCAAGCTACTTGAGAAGCTGAGGCAGAACAACCACAAGCTTAAGACCAGGCTAGGCAACTTAGTAGGACTTTGTCTCAAAATAAAAAGGGAAGGAATACAGTTCAGTAACACAACACTTGAGTAGCATGGATGTGGCCCTGCATTCAGTTCCTGGTCCTGAAAAACGAAAAATAAACTGCATGCAACATTTGGTCACTGTTACTGTGACTAAATGCATAGCTTCTTGAACTATTTGCTTAATGTGGATCATGAACAAGTTTACCTTACAGTAGAGCAACAGGGTTGCTAGGACTCTGGTGAAAGAACAGATAATGAAAAGAATGTTCTATTAGAATTACACTTCAGTATGTGCTAACATGCATATCACTTCCATAGAAAGATTATAAGCTATTTTAAAAAATGAACTGTCATGATGAATAATTTTAGTTTTATCTCAGAAAGCTATAACTTAGGCTAGAAAAATCACAAAACAAGCAGAATTAATATGCTTTGTTTCTTTTTTTTAGAATTTTTACTTATTTGGTACAGGGTTTTATTATGCAACTTGGACTTGTAATGAACCTGCCTCAGCCTTCCCAGCACTGGGATTACAAGAATGTGCCACCACGCCTGGTTTTGCTGGCCAGCACAAAGTACCTGGGCTTCCTGGGCCAGCACGGCATGCAGTACTGGGGATGGAACCTGGGTGCTTGCACTTGCTAGACAGGTGCTTAGACCATCAAGCTATCTCCCCACCTGCCTCATTTCTTTTATAGGGGGATCTGTTCTACAAGAACAGTTAGTGTAAGCTAATAAAAATTTTGCCAACTGTTGAGGGCTCCACTGAGCAAGTTTATTACTTGCTATCTTAATAATACTTGTTAGAAAAAAAAATCTGAATGGTTATGTCTGTATCTGAACTCATTTTACTTCTCTTCCTATGATGACTGTTTCCTTATATAGAAAGAATTTCAAGGACTTGTTTAGAGGGAATCCTTGAGGCCAAAAGGGGAAAACAGAGGACCGTGGCACATCACAGTTTCTATCAAAAGATAGGTGAGGGGCCGGGGAGATAGCTCAGTTGAATAAGCATTTGCCTGGCAAGCAAAAGGACCTGAGTTCAATCCCCCCCCCCAAAATACAAAAAAAAAACCCCAAAAAAAAAAAAAAAAAATTAAAAGATAGGCGAGTGTGCAACAGAAACTGTAGCCAATTTGCTGAAGCTCTTCTGTATAACCTCAACATTAACCATTAGACTCAGACCAGCCTACAAGTTTGGGCTTGAGTTTTTCTTTACAGAGACTGAAACTGTTCACTACAAAATTCCTCTCATATTTTATAAAGGTAAGTTTCAGGCATCCTGACCTAACTGGTGAATTCTCCAGAAACTGTGTTTCAATCTTAGATTAAGGTCACTGAATAATTTCCTCAAATGTTTGGGGTTTAGGTTTCCAGTAATTTTGGCTGTTGCCATGCTTTGCTATCCTAATCTGACAAAATTCTGCCCTTCTTTTGGCTTTTTAGGATTTCCCTTCTTTCTCATCTTTCCAATTTTGTCTGACGAAAGAATAAACATTTTAGCTTCCTAGATAATATTACAGGGTCATTTGATCTGAGCACTAGGATTTCATGAAACTTTCTTTGTAACGGCAGTGCTATTGTGCACATTTTGCTTCTGCATGTTTTCTACAAGACAGCCATGTTTAATACTGTGAAATATGATCTGTCTCCTCTCCCCACCTTCTAGAACAGTGATAAATTTCAGAGCACGCTTGGCAGAATTGGATTATATTATGCACAGTATACATGTTCATCACCAAAACTGTACTTCTCAGAATGTATGCATGTAGAATGAATTGCTGACACTTCAAAATCCCAGATCCTCACGACTGATTTTATTAGCCAATGCATACCAAAGATGACTGGTGAAAGAAGTATTATTTCTGCAGCTTTCTTTCATCCTTGAAGCCCTGTCCTATATTAGAATGGTTTCCCAGGGCTTTGATTAAGCCTTGCTAGCTATGTGCCGCTGCAGCACCAAAGAAACGGCTTTGCAGCCTGTCACCTCTTCTGGCACACAGCCATCTTGGTCCCGGAGAGCTGGGTCAGCACCAGACTGGAGAAGCAACTCCACAATGTCCAAAAACTCACAGGCAGCAGCTGTAAGGAAAATTGACACATAAAAATAAGTTTACTATAAGACAAAGAAAATGCTCCATTAAGAAAGGCAAGTGCTGGTGAATACTGCACAGTGAACAATTTTATAAAGACTGAAGGATGATTAGGTTCTGTAAGGAGAACTGTGCATGATGCTGGATTCTTTCTTTTTTTTTTTTTAAAGGGTCCATTTTCATTCACTAAATAATCAATTAAGTACATATGGAATCATTTATTATACACACTATACAATAAGACATATTTTGTCATAACTGACAAATAAAGAGAAACAATACCAATATGTCCCCCAAAATATAAAACATTTGGTAATCTACTGAAAGGTAACTAGAATGACTATTTAGCTTTACTCAGCAGGCTGTTGTAAAAAGAAACAGATTCATTTTGTTTCAACAGCAGAAATGAGATCTATAGGAGGGAATCTACCAAAGACAGCATTTCTCCAGGATAATCCCATAGAACACTGATTCCCCCAAGGTACATCTCAATAGAATTCCATGTTCATTTAAATCCAAGAAAAGCAGCAGTATTTCACAGTCCAGGGCAGTGCCTATCCAGAAAGCATAGTATAATACCTGCAGAAGTACCAAGGACCATTAGAATCAGGTGAACCTTAGTCATGGATCCCATATTTGCAGAACAAAGCCTAGGAAAATAAACTTTACCTTTCTTTCTTTTTTTTTTCTGTATTTAGTACAGGGTCTACTGGGTCTCACTACACAGATCGCACTCGTAGTGATCCTCCTGTTTTCAGCCTCCCAAGGGCTGGGATTATAGGCATGGACCACCAAGCCCAGTCTTAATTGCTGTCTCAGTGTGCACTGGGGGCGGGGCTGGCACAGCACACCTGGGATTGAACCCAGGCCAGTGCTGCGCTCTGCCTAAACAGGAGCTTTAGTCCACTGAGATATCTGGCCGGCCCCCAAAATTTACCTTTTTGATTGCCTAAAAGACACACACAGACAATTTTTTTGCTTTACCACCCACCCTATTCTTTAAGGATAAAGTGAAGACAAATAATAAAAGATACAGTAAGTATCTATTTTACTTTCATCTACATTTCAGAATGACAGGCATGCAGACCATATCCAAATGCTAAAAGCTTTTAAGTGTCAAAGAAAACATTATGCTTTGTCTTTGGGCAGAGGTATATGTCCCAGAGAGTTGGGTCAGCACTAGACTGGAGCAGCAGCTCCACAACATCCAGAAAGTCACAGACCTTTAACTAAAATTTATAAATTTTAAAATTTATAAACTGAGCCCAGCCTGTGCAATACAGCAACTTAGTGAGACTTTGTTTCAAAATAAAAAGCATGTGGATCAGTGAGAAGGCCCTGGATTCAACCCCTAGTACTGCAATAAGTAAGTGAGTAAATAAATGGATAAATAAGTTGTAAATGTAAAAAAGAAAAAAATGTACTGGCAAATAAAACACCCTCTATTGAATTAAAAAAAAATGGCACTAATGGATGCTACAGATAAGTCTAAATCATTGGGTGGAGAGGCCTATAGATAATAAAACTTCTTATAATGCTATCATGTTACATGGTTTAGCCCCAGGATATACAAACAGATCAACAAAGAGCCATCTATTTTGCATATATATATATATATATATATATATATATATATACTTGATTTATGGCAAAACTGACAACACAGGTTTAATAATCGGATGAGAGCAATCATATTAGTAACCTGAGAAATAAAAATTAAAATCAAGCAGTAACATTTCATACTTACTAGATTTATAAAAACTAAAAACTATGACAACACTAAGCACTGAGGAGCACCAGAACAAGGGAACTAACTTCCCTTTAGATTTGTCAACATATATATTGGGGTAGCTACATTGGATGAAAATTTGGCATTGTAGGTTACAGAAAGCATTTACGATTATAACATCCCTTTGAGAATCTTTTATATCTTTTTTGGTGGTACTAGATGAACCCCGAGTCTCACATATGTTAGGCACATGTTCTACCTCTACCACTGAGCTACATCTCAACTCATCTCTTACATTAAGAATTTAAAATTGACTCCCAAAATAATTTTAATCAAAATTTTTATTTTAAGTTTCTGAAGAGTTTAACCATGAATCACTGTATATTAAATTAGACTCACATGGAGGAACATCCTCTTGTAAGAAAGAAGAAAGCTAAGGGTACATTTCCTAGTATCAAGTAGCTGTGAGAAGGGATCGATCCTGTAAAGAATCTGCTACATAACAACTATATTTTGAGCAGTAACCACTTAGCCTTTATACCACAGCTCTCACATCATGGTGAGGAACACTTAGTTAAATTTTAAATTTGGACGTTTTTAGTAGTATCGGAAGAACAAACTCCCCAGGGTATAAATTCGTATTTTAATAAAATAACCAACATAATCTATCACACCATACTTAGTGCAAATTTAACCCAATACTTAATATCAGGGCTAAGTGGATGTGTGCTATCACTGAAAATTCAAATGATGGCTTGTCCAGGCAAAGGGGCATTGATTTTATGTATGCTGTATGATGAAATCCCAGTGAGATATGATAAAACCATGGGTACCAACCCAGTAACAGAGCTTAAAATTTTAAATTCTACATCTAGAAGACTATAGCCAACCAAGTAAGAAAATGCTACTGGGCAATTTGCTGACTTGGCAGATGTGACTGTAATTTTAGCTCAAGTGTAACTATAAATAAGTTTTAAATTTGGAATTTAAGAGTTCCAAGGCAGTACTACTTCAGAGTAAGGAATGTGGTATCCATATAAACAAAATTTTAATAACAAGTCCAGACTTAATGCAAAGATATATACAATCAGGAAATTATAGCAGAGGGAAAAAAAAGGAAACAAGACTGACTTAAAGGAAAGGGGTCCTTCCTTTGCAGACAGCTGAATTTATTGTCACAGTACACCTGCAGTGTCTGTGGGAGAATGGCATATATAAGATGCTCAATAAATAGCTGTTGAAGAAATACACTTGGTACCCCATTAGATGGTGAGCTACTTGGCCATCTGATCATCGTCCTCCCTCCCTCTTTCCTTTCCCTCCTTCCTTCCTCACTCCTTCCTTCGTTTTTTTTTCCTTTGTTTCTCTCACTCCCTGTCTTTCTTTTCTCTTTTCTTCTATTCTCCTCTCCATGTAGCACAAATGCTGAGAACTTAGAATTTGTTTAAATTTGAGTAATTGATTTCCACGCCCTTAGCTTTTTCAGTAAAGTAAATTTGTAGAGAAGAGTCATCTTTCGAAGTGTGTAAGCTGCCTACCCCTTCAGACTAAAGGGAAAGATGAGAGAAGGACAAGGAGAGTGCTAATATTTTACGAAGTTAATGAAGGGGTATACTGGTGCCCATAATGTGCTGGGAAACACAAAAACACTCACAGGCCCATCCTGGAAAAGCTTGAGCAAGACTATAGGGACTAGAACTGTTGCTGAATTTATGGTACTCTGGGAGCCTCTATTTGTCAAGTGCCATAGAGGCAGCCCTGACACCGGCACAGGTGAAGATGAATTTTCATTCAGAGCAGTGAGCCTTCTGACTCCATTAATCCTCAGGGTTTTGATGATGAATTTCTTTCTTTTTTATTTTATTTATTTTCACTCTAATGTCTCCTCCCACTGCCCTGTAACAGCATGGAAGGAATAGAGCAGATGGTGCTTTGCGTGGAAGACTGAGGGCTCATGAGGATACAAAGCCTGCCCACTTTGCAATCACATGACTACACGTGCAAGGAAAAGCCTTGATTTCCCCAGGGAGACACACATGCAATGATATTAGTATTCCCAGCGGAGGAAGAGGAGGGGAAGGCTAACAGGTCATTTGTAAGGAAGACCACAATTATACTGATATACTCTTCAGCAAAGACCATGTTTAATCACAAAAATAATAAGATGAGCAGTATCTGAAGACTCAAAACACTCAGATAAAATATAGGCAAACAAGGATTTTAATATGCTGCTAGACAAAGAGCATTCAGGATGAACTAAGGAGGGCATACAGTAGTAGAATACTGGCCTCTAGTTAACCTGTGATTGGCTCTGACCCAGTTTTAATCGGAAGAAGCCAGGATTTACAACCTGCTTAAAGATGGAGTTTGACAACTGCTATAATCACAAGAGCTGTCAACACAAGGACAGCTGTCAAGCTGGATAGTAATTCATAAAAAATAATAGCTAAGCCCCCAAAGACCTCCCTAATACTGTCTGCATTCAATGGATTTAACCATACTTACAGTTTTATAAAAGTTTCAAAAATAGGTTAAGGGTACTTCAATAAAATAAAATCTATAATAGCTACTGAAAACTTACTAAATAAAAGGATAACTAATATTAAGGGATTAAATAAATGAAATATGCGTAGAGGATTCTCTGGAATATAATAAGTACTTAATAAATGATAACTACAGTAGTACTATTAGATACAAGACTGTTTTAACCACCTCAAAAACTGGCAAAAGCCCAGCGATATAATATATAAATTGAAAATGAATCACTCTAAAAGTAATTAAACTTAAAATATTTTTACATAACATTTCTGAATGTTTTATATATTTGTAATGTCAGACCTCTGACATGATATAATAATATAAAAGCACACACAGAGATACACGCGTTTACTTATAGGCTTGAAAAGTATTCTTTAAAATAAAGGATTTTCCTCTATTTTACTTCTATAAAACATTATTTTCCACATGATATTGTGTATTTTAAGAGAATTCAGAACTACAGTTACTTATGAAGTTATGAAAAGGAGTGGGTGTGCAAGCAGAAGCCCTGCCACGTACCTTGGCTCTGCCAGCCACAGCCTGAACAGCCCTATCAGGGCCACACCACCATCCCCCTAGCCTGCAGCCTGCATCTACAGCAGGGAAAAATAATATCCAGGTTCAGGTATCTGTTGGAAGGATTATCAAAAGAGAACAGTAGGGGCTGGTGAGATGGCTCAGTGGTCTAAAGCACCTACTTAGAACAAGCTTAGCAAAGCACA